ATATTATCTTTTACATCTTCCAATGTATTTTCTTTTGATTTAGCATTGAAGTTTCAAAATGTCATAATCTACTTGCATTGATTGATGTTTTCAATCTTGCAGAACTGTCCAAGGTACTGGACCCATCATATTATTAAAGAGACTTTACATCAAACAGGTTAGAACATGACATCAAACAGAATGTCTGTTGGGATAAATACATCAAGAGCTTTGGGTAGAGACTCATTCTAAACTAACATAAAGTTGAGACCATTCATGACAATTTGTATCATATATGACTGACATTTTATATAAATTGCAGTTATGTTAAAGTTTCATTGAACATAAGGTTAAAAAAGGATTTTAACAAGACAAGTGCCTTTAAATAGGCCTGAAATTTCTGAAGAAATAGTTTCAAAAGACCTTCAAAACCTTTCAACCCAAAATTATTTTTAAATGGAAACTTGGGCAATATACATTCATTCACATTTATTCATTCAAAAGAGTATAACTTGCACTGTTTTAAGCAGGCCATGATAATGTGGGGACTGATTGATTTTGGCCATACATAAACTGTATGCTTTGTTTAAACGTGAGCAAATGTGTTTGTACTAATGTGAGACAATTGCTCTTCTGTCTTCCTTTCTCTCCACTGATAATAACCTACCTTTTCACTTTACTGGGCTCATTTTCGGGGGAAAAAATAAAATCTGTACAAATGATGGTGTCATAATGGTGCTGACACTTTACACATTGGTTAATGTATTTTTCTTGCAATTGTCAAAGCACATCCAACTGCAAAAAAAAAAAATTCAAACTGAGCAATGTAGCATAGTGTCCTTTCAGTGTTTAATAAGGAAAAAATATAGTGTTTAATAAAGAAAAATATTAATACGGAATAAGGAAAAATAGTGAAAAATAGTGTTTATTACAGAAAAATATTACTCTTTACCTAAACATAGCATTGGAAATTTGCTGTGAAAATGAAAAACTCACACATTAAAGAGTTGTAATATGTTCTTTCAATTTAGCTAAACATTTTACAGTTTGTTCAGGAAGAGTTAATTATTAATAATAATAATTCGCTTTTCTGGGCACTCAAAGCGTCATTGACCATATAAAGCATACACTTATAAAGCATAAGCATACATGTCATTGACCATATAAAGCACATAATTGCACATTCAATACTTGTAGTATATTCTTTAGGGTCAAATAAATATTTTGCAGCTTGTTTTGGAGCGGTGTGACCCTCCTTTGGAAAGTTATTGAACTGGATGGTGTGTCATTGAAGAAACCCATAGAATACAGTGATGGTACAAATGAAACATATAGAGCAAATAATTGCACATTAAAGACTTGTAGTATGTTTTTTAGGGTCAAATAAATATTTTGCAGCTTGTTTTGGAACTGTGTGACCCTTGAAAGTTATTGAACTGGAAGGTGTCTCAATGAAGAAACCCATAGAAAACAATGATGGTAGAAATTGAACATATAGAGCAAATAATTGCACATTAAAGAATTGTAGTATGTTCTTTAGGGTCAAATAAATATTTTGCAACTTGTTTTGGAACTGTGTGTCCCTCTTTTCAAAAGTTATTGAATTGGATGGTGTGCCATTGAAGAACCCCATAGAATACAGTGATGGTATAAATTGAACATATAGAGCAAATAATTGCACATTAAAGACTTGTAGTATGTTCTTTAGGGTCAAATAAATATGTAGCAACTTGTTTTGGAGCGGTGTGACCCTGCTTTGGAAAGTTATTGAACTGGATGGTGTGTCATTGAAGAAACCAATGCAACACATTATGAAGTAGTAGAAATTGACCACATAAAGAAAATTACTGCACAATAAAGAGTTGTAATATGTTTATTAGGGTCAAGTTAAGATTTTCCAGTGTGTTCAGGAACACTCCATTAAGCCTTTTAAAAGCTATTTAACTTAATCATGTGTCATTGAAGAAACCACAGTAATTTAACACAGTCACTCTAAAAAATGCTGGGTTAAATACAACCCAGTGCTGGGTAAAATAGGGACAAACCCAGCAATTGGGTTGTTTTGACCCAGCGGTTGGGTTAAATGTTTAACCCAACCTTCTGGGTAGTAACCCACCCAGCATTTTTTAGAGTGTAATAGCAAAAAAAAAGGTACACTTGAGGCACAAATTGTTTATGAAAAATATAAATAATAAATGTATCATATATCAACATGCTCTGGAACGTTATAAATAAAAGCAAGCAGCGTTTTTCAGCCCAAAAGAGTCTTTTAGCAACTTGCCATAAAAGTATCATGTAATTTGTAGACGGTCCCTCTGATGGTGATGACGTCACACCATTCCATAGGCATGAAAGTGTTTTTAAGCCTTTTAAAAACATCGACTTCTGCAGAAAAATGGATTGTAGGTACTGCTCATTATAGTCGGTAATGAAAATTAATTGCAAGTATCCTTTTTAAATGCATATTAACAAAGCTATTGAACACGGAAGTCTGAATGTGCGAATATGAAACCAACTTTACCGCAGTCTGCGAGCGAGCGCGCTGCTGCCAAAAACAGGTGCTTCCATTTTCATATCACCTCAAATTATAGTTAGAAAGTATACTTATATTTTTAGAGTTAAAAGCTGCGTTAGGGCATTCAGCTTGCATTTAGAGTCACATTTCGTTTGACAGAGTCATTATGTTACAGAATATTAAAAAAAAAACACTAAATGAGAGAAAAAGACGTGATGTCATGATGACGTCGAATGGCAACATGCGACTTTGATCAACACTCGTCACTGAAATAAACGCTTTTCTTGCATCAAGATGTCGCGTTTTTGGTATAATTCACATTTGCAGAAGGGCACAAAAGTTTGACAGATTAGCGCACACATCGCTGTCTCTTCCCTGGGGAGATAATTTTGCTTCCGGATTTTTTTATTGTCATAATGTTCTCCTCTTCACTTCCTTGTATTTAGCGATTAGAGGAACTGAGCACATTGTGACTAGACTGTTCATAGATTTTGTTTTATTTTTATTTTTTTAAGTACTGCATTAGGCTATTTTTTATATTTAAAAATGAGAATTAGTTTGAGTACAGCAGGTGTTTTTCGACGTGGTCATTGATTTTCTTCTCTAAACTTGGGTAAGTATTTTTATTTATTTGGGTGTTTACATTAAAGGGGTGTTACAGTAGCTGTTTATGTATGTAAACATTTGATTTAAAAGCCTACTTTTTTTTAATTAAATATACACTGATCAAGTTTAAGGAGTTTTATAAAACTAAATAGGAGTCATACGAAGCTCCTTTATTCATTCTTAATGGGAAAACTGTCGAACTGGAAAGTTACATTTGCAAAATGATGCACAATAAGGTGCAAAATTGTTCTATACAGTTTCAGTGGGCTACAAAAAAGCAAATTCCGCAAGAATTAAACTTGTTAATGATAACAGCTACGAATTGACAAACTCGGATGTGGCAGGTTCATTTTCTTACCCTGTTGAGCAACAGACCTTCGTTTATTCTTATCTCGTGTTTATTTGTGTCAATCTACATTGATTTTTTTGGTTTGTTATTTAAAGTTTTATCTTGGCGCTTGTTTAAATGTCAGGAAAGAGAGTGGTTTCTCTGTCTCTTTCACACAGAAAGCTCAAAATGGAAGAATGGAGGGTGTGGGTGATGTACAAAGGTTTCTGAATGGAAACCACATTGAGTTTACTGGGTTAATACTTTACTTTTAAAGAAGGGCTTGCTTTGGGACAATTCCACTGTACTCAGCTACTCATTTGCAATGCAAATATGGGCTTCTGTGGGGAACCAGACATGAAACATCTGTTTTGCTTGCCATGGTTCAACAGTTTGGAAAACGGACTCTAAAAGGTGCACTGTTTAGTCACAGATAACTGCTTGTCATATTCCTCTTTAGGTGGTGATTATTTCTATTACCAGAGCTGGCAAGTCACATGCATGGGCGGGAAATTACAGTATTAACGTTGTCGTCTCCATAAATTGTTCTTCTTTAAACCCAAAACATATGTAAAGACAGAATTGATCATTCTAGCAAATTCTGTTTCATGAACACTTAACATGAACTTAAAAGGCTACTGTAACAGTTACTATATAATCCGTGCAACAAACAATGCAGGTTCACTTAAAAATTCTTAATTACTCATCCTCATGTCATTCCAAACTTGTATGACTTTCTTTCATCTGTAGAATACAAAACATTTTTTTGGAGAATGTTTCAACCATTTTTGTCCATATAATGAAAGCCACTGGGGTCCAAACTAGGGCTGCACGATTAATCGCATGCGATATTTAACGCGCATCTTATCAGTAAAGCCGGTTCTGTAATCAGCGGTAAATCTCCATCACCTGCGTGCTTTCACATTGAGCAGCATTAACTACACAGAGCCGTTGTTCACTGACGAGCTGCGCTAAACCACGTTCATATTCGCGCGATTTTTTGCGCTGCTCATCAGTGAACAACGGCTCTGTGTAGCTAATGCTGCTCAATGTGAAAGCCCGCAGGTGATGGAGATTTACCGCTGATTACAGAACCGGCTTTCTGACAAGATGCGCGTTAAATATCGCATGCGATTAATCGTGCAGCCCTAGTCCAAACCAATGAATGGACAATGAAAACAGACATTTTTCCAAATATCTCCTTTTGTGTTCCAGAGAAGAAAGAAAGTCATAAAAGTTTTGAAACGACATGACGGTGAGTAAATAATGCCTGAATTTTCATTTCTGGATTTACTAGTTATTTAATGTTTGATTTGATCCATGCAGTATCTTGAATATTTGAATATGAGATAGTCCATTGTGTTTAGATATTCAAAGTACAGACATTTTTTGCCATGTCATTCAGTTGTAAATAAAGCAAACCTGCTATAAGTAACAACATAAGTTTCATGAGGCTACATTTGTACCTGCTGCCACACAGACTGCAATAAGTAACTTCCTGCGGCCGTTTGTATTTGCCAGTGTGTGACCAAAGGCAGTGATGGCGGGCTGCGTTCAGCAG